GCCAAACCAGCCGCAGAGTAACAAGTACTGAGATGTTACATCACTTACCCATGACCACGCCCATGACATCCTCAATTGTCATCACGGCACTCAAACGCTGATATAAAGCAGGAACCAGTCCTTGACAAAAACAAAAACAGAGAGAGCATTAAACTAACAGTAATAAAACTAGAAAATGTACTAAAAAATCACAACGGAACTGAACTAAAGAAGTATACATTATGTAATGTTCTCCTTTTGACTCTTTCACCTCTAAGAGTGACTAAAATCTAACTTCTCTCCTCCATATCACCCCTTTGATCAAACATTAAGGTCATGAGAATTAAAAAAATGATCACCAACTAAAGACGCGTTGGATTGTTCAACTAATTCTCCTCGTCAGCACCTCAGGAAATGTTTGCAGAACAGTAAGGAGAATATGCATATCAATGTTGGGGTGTAAAGTGTTGAGGCTGTAAACGGTAAAATTCATCGCCTGTGGTACCTCTCATGACAGAGTTCCGCCTCAAATTGCTTGGAATTCTTGAAAATTCGACAGGGAAACGGATTGCTCTGATGGTTTGGTTGCTTTGTCTTTAGATGCTTAACACACTGTCCTATCGAGAAGAAGAAAATAGGGCCCCTGCTTACCTTCTTCGTCTTGAATATCCAGTCCACTCTGTCTCATTGTTTCAATCAAGGAATTAATTGTCTGTGTCTGACCTGAAATTTAAGAGTTAAAAAAAAATGTATTTAACAAAACAACACGCGACTGCTAATTGAGAATTAATGGCCAGAGATTGGCATAAATTAAGGCCCCTTGTCACGACTGGTCTAAGTTTTGAATCTGATTGGGTGAGAGGATGGCGCCAGTTTTTTTTTTTTTTTTTTTTTTTTTGACCAATCACAGTGTAAAGTAAAGCAAAACCAAATTAATCCCCGAGAATTCTCGGCAATCGATCGAAAATTGTTTAAACTATCTAATTTGCAGGACAGCAGTCCTTTGAACTGCTGCACTTGAGTTGTTGCACTTGAGTTGTTGCACTTGGAATTGCTGTACTTAAATTGCTGGCCCATTGTGTAGTTGATTTCTGAAAAGGGAAGAAACTTCCATCTCTCCCAGAGTTTGAGCACAAGGAATACGAAGACTTAACCATGGAAAGAGATGGAATGGTCATGTTTGCAACATTTCTAGTGCCAGTATAAAATATACAAGCAGTATTACATGCCTACTACAGAACAGCAAGTAATAATGCACTCATCTTTGAAGTCACCATCTCTCTTCCATGACATAACAAATTGTAATGAGATCGGAAAGACTCAAAAAAGAAGCACTTTAGCGAGTAACTGAGTAACTTAAGTAAACTACTCCCACGTAATCTCTATAAAAATGCTTCAAGTGACCATCTGTTAGACCTTTAAATCAACATGCGAGAGTTTAATCATAACATAACAATTTCCTCAAATGTGATTGGTGCAATAGCTATATTATTTTTCACTAATTCTGTAGAATTGTAAGTGGACAGTGTAATCAGACAGTTGGCTGTAATCGTACACCTGTCATTGGACAGTTGAAGCACCCAGTCATACTAAGTCCACTCAGCTAAATTCACCAAACACAGAATTGATCACAATAACCATACCAACAACCACTTATCCTAAAAAACTGGGGAATTTCCAAAATGGTGGAGATTTTTACTTTAGACATTGTCCCCACCAGAGATATTTTCCCAAAATGTATGTCTTTTTTTTTTTCCTGGAAATTGGAATGGTTATAATTGTTAACAGAAATTTTGTGTCGTCCAGTTTGGTCGGTAATCATACTAAGGATTGACAAATCAGACTCACTCTTTGCGGTTGTCTGATTTTGTTAATCACTTGTGTGATTACTGACTGATTTGGACTCTACTTGGTCCTATATAATTTACTGTATTACCATTATCAATAACTCCTTCAGTCTCGTACATAATAAAACCTCCAGCCACCTTTTTCAGGCAGTGTATCAGTGTGAGTCAATGGTAGGGGGAGGGGGTAGCCCCTATCCCCCCTGGGTAATCACCCAACTTGACATTTAACATTTGACTATGGGGGGCCCCAAGAGTAATTTCTGCCATATATAACAATAACAAACCTTCATTGAAATTCATCATTGAATCTATGAAATCCATCATTGATCGCCTTGAATCTGAAGCACTCCTTTGACCAGGTGACTGATGAAAATTTATTTAAGGTTAATACAGTTCAAAAAAGTATTATTTTCTTCACATAACAGATGAGACAACCCACATATCAAGATTTTTGGTAAGATGAAAATTTAATCAGTTATCAACAGCAAAGTATGGAGTGGTAATGATGTAAACATGTATTTTGCATGCCACATCTAAATGCAAGACTCAATGCAAACAAGTCACATGGAGTGTATGTTAATTTTATCATCTTAATGTGGGTATCTCTCAAACAATAATAATGATATTTAAACAGGAAGCTCTCTCACCCGTAGGTGATCTACAGAGAGGTCCTGATCCAAAATAACATTAAATTGTTAAAAGTAAGTACACAAATTACAGAAGTACAAAAGTAAGCTATAGATTAAAAAAATTTTCAAAATTATTTCTACGCTGACATAATTATAGTCCCAGATTTCTTCAAGTCACTGTCCAAGGCATTCCAGTCTTTAAAGGCATGATAGCAGGTTCTTTGTTTACCCCCAGTTCTGTTTTACTGATGGAAGTCTAAGATGATCTCTGCAACGAGTGTTGTATCTATGTACATTGCTGTTTCTAGATAATTCCAATTTGTGAGATGTAATTCCATTCACGCCTTTATAAACATACAGGCGGTGATAGAAGTGCCTGCATTGTTTTAAATTTAACCAACCGAGCTGATTGAGAGCATTGGCTGCAGAAGAGTACAATGGTTTATCTAAAACAAGTTTTGCCACCTTATTTTGTAAATAAAGTAATAAATACAGTAAAGTAAATTAACTGATCTATTCTCCTTTAGATGATTGCAGTTAAAGGGTCATGTTTAATTTCTAAGATGCCATAGTATGATATAAAATACCAAAACACAACTGAGTAAGGCAGGGCACATAGTTCAGAGCTAGAAAGAAAAACTACCATGTAGCTTGACTTGTTTGTATTAGTTTTAAATGCAGCTTGTTGAATGTTTTGTGGCATGGGCAAGTGTGCAGGTAAAGTTGCTGTCTTGACAGGGATATAACTACCCATAGGGCTACAGAGTTGCTTTCAGCTATGTTATCACCATGCAAAGCAAAGTTCCACTGGTGGAGGGAACAATTGTGTCAAAATGCTGTGAAGAAGGCTTAATGGCAAATGTTCAACACTGGGTAGTTGCAAGCAAAGCCCCTTTCCTCATTTTTATAACACCTCTGCATGGGTATTTAACTTTTCTCAATTTACACAAAATAACTTCACACAACAATATTGGGGAGCTTAAGCAACCTATGATGGGGACAACAAGGCAAACAGATCTAATTTGGATGCATGTGTGTTTGTCAAACCTGTACAACAATTCTTAGTAACACAACAGTGTTGAGACAATAAATTTTGCCTTTACGAGAACAAAAGCAGGAAAAGCAACTTAATCATATTTCTTCTTCCTCATGAGAAGGTCTGGTGGGGAAGACATAATATTCAGGTCAGGGAGCTCCCAAAATCCCTGGAGACAAACGTTAGTTCACTTTTACATTGTTTCCCCTGAGGTTACCGTCATGACTGCTTAAGCTCCCTAAAGTGAGGGCATGAACACTGGCAGTTCATGATCAGTACCTGTCTAGGTGAGCCACTGGGGAAAAGTGATGGGAATCCTCTAAAGCCAGTCCTCTGATCATGTGCAATCATCCCTAGAATCCCTTGCAAGTCAGCTGGAGATATTGTACGGTCACGGGCTGAAGATGCAAGGAAATTAATAATTAAAAATATAACAATAATCATTGTTGACCCCAAGGAGAAAAACAGCAGGTTTTCCAATTATGTTGTAAAGTTCTTGAGTAGAAGACTTAGCACAACATAATATAGTTAGCAAGGAAGTAAAGTCTTTATTTCGTGAGGGTAGACCTTATGAAGTAGTAAAGTTTTTTCTTTAACATTTCATATATGATACTGTAAAAACCTATCTATTTTAAGTTAACAATTGAAAAAATAAACCTATCTAGAAGAAAAGCCTAATATGTAAAAGATTCTCTAAAATACATATATATTGAAAAGTACAAGGTAACCACCAAATAGTACATAATAATTCATAAATTAGCTGTTCATTAAAATTAATGTTGCCAGCAAAAACTATATTGCAAGCTGTTGAGAAATTCCACATGCTGCAGAGGTTTTACTTCCTCCACCTTACATATACAGGGGTTTCATTAAGGACCAGGCACCAGGCAAATTGACCAGTTGGGAGGACAGCTTTGCCCACCTGATTTGACCATCTGGAGGAAAGTTTATCTTATAAAGAAGTTGAGTTCAAAGAGTTTTGCCCGCCTGTGAAAACCAGTTGCCCTCCTGCAGAAAACATTGATTAAACCCCTGCATATACATATAATTTTCTTCCAAGTTGAATACTATCTAATCTGAGGAGACTCATGGAACCTTTCATATGCAGTAAAAAAAGAAACTGAAGCCAATCAAAACGTTAGACAGATTAGATCTAGAAGACAGCCCTCTTTTGTAGCTTCATCACCCTGCTATGATTGACTTTGGAAAAGACTCCACATAACTGGTAATCAACTAAAGGCCTGATAAACTACTGCAGTAAAATGGAATTTCTGACTAGTATGCTACAAATACAAATACAGCTACAAGTGTTAATGTGGACCAAAAAAATCACTGTTGTCAGTGTACATTACATGTACACTGTACATGTATGTGCCAATAAAAAAAAAACCTTTGTACCTGAACAGAAGATTTTGTAATATTAACTAGAAAAATCAATTCATCAAAGTACATGTAGATTAAAAGTCAGAAATAGGAAGCATTAAATTAAATCACATGTACATGTACATGTACCTCTCCTCCGCTCTGGGGGTGTTCTTGCTGGTTGTTCTTGTGCAGGAGGTTTATTAGTGGACTTCTTATCACCAGCTGCTCCCTGAGTTTGGGGTTGAGCCTGAGAAGCACTGGTAGTTTCAGAAGTTGAAGCTGGAGTACTTGTTGCTGCTGTCTCAGAGGCAGTGCTGGCTATTGGTGTCTGAGCTGGAGACCTAGTCACTGTAGTAGCAGTAGATTGAGTTGATTGTGGTTGACTGGTTTGCTGTGGCTGAGTGCGCTGTCCCTGAGGGCCAAAATGAAATGACTGGCAAGGTAAAGATGGGTCAGGATGATTTGAGTTTGAAGCTGCTGCTGCTGCTGCTGCTCCTCCTCCTCCTCCCATACCAGACATAAGATTCAAGGACATAGCACCTGGTAATCCCTGAGGTCTGACTTGACCCTGCCCAGCTGTTGTACTCTGTGTTCCAGGTGTTGGCACCGGAGTGCTTGTTACTGTTGCTACTCCTTGGCCCGGTGTCTGAGATTGATTCTGAGCCACTGACATCCCTGAAGGGACCTGACCACCCTGAGCTGCAGCCATAGCAGCAGCCATGGAAGCTGGCACATTTGACACTAATGCAATGAAGTCATCTACAATAATGCGAGTCCGGACACTAGGTTGAGTCTGAGTTGACGTACTAGTACTACTGTTGGTTGTGCTTGCAGTTGCACCATTATTTGCATCAGTACCAACTGATGACCTCTGCTCCCCAAAGGAGCTTGAAAAAGTCTCTCTTGCAGCACCATTATCTGCACTGGCACTCATCCGTGTACCACTTGTGGATGTCATTGATGGTGTAGACAAGCTGTTGACTGGTGCAGTGGTGCCTGGATGTGACACATTTGATATGATGGTGGTCAATGAGATTCCACCCTGAGGATTCACATGGATCCTCAAATTCTGATTGGTGCCCAATGGTATCTGTGGGGTAGCTGGTGCTGGTTGGCTGGTCTGTGCTGTTGTGGAGCTGGCAGCAGGTTGCTATGGGGTTAAAATAAAGAATAAAACATGCTTGTTTGTGAGCTAATCAACTGCTGTGCAGCTGTGATATTCATTACAAGGAAAAATGAACCGTATCCAACTAACAACAGCCCCAGGGTCAATTATATTATGGGGGCATTCAGTGTAGGTTGGGGCTGGGACAAAAAACTGAACTACCCTATTTATTTTCCTATTAGCCGAGACTAAACTTTCAGCTATGAGCACGACCAAACCATTATTGAAATGTTGTGTAGCACTCTTCGCTAGTTGTTAAGTGAGATGAATAAACATGATAGTAAATAGTAATCAAACAAAAGTTAGAAACTTCCATGTGGGGAAACAATAACATGCAACTGTAAAGGAGTTTATCAATAAACAATCATTAACTCATTTATATGCTGTTTATTTAATTGAAATGTATGTATTTAAATTTTTTACTGAGGCAGAGGAAATAGAGAATATGGCATCAGTGAACCCAGGCTTTGCCACCAGCAGAAAGATCAAGCAAACCTCTTCAATGGTAAGCTTAAAATGTCAACAAAATGAAAGACAATGGGCTGTTATTCACTGAAGTATCCTGAATTAGATCAAACAGTTCTGGAGTGGTTTTTGGAGTAGAGCGGTCAGGGTAAGTTCAGCATTTTGAACCGAAATTTACAAACTGTCTGCTTCAGCTGATTTCTTTCAGATTGTGTTGCAATGTTGACTTAGCCATGGGCACAGCAGCTTCTGATTGGCCAGTTTTGGATGCTGTCAAAACAAGCCAAACCAACTGATCAAAATCTTGCTTCTCTTTAATCTTCACAGGAATTGCTACTATCCAATTAATTTTGAAGGAGTTGTGCAGCAATCCACAGTTCAAAGCCTTGCTGAATTGGTATCAGAATTGAAAAAAGTCCCATTCCATCAGCCTTCACACCAAGGCAATACTTGCACAGCAACTTCCACATGATCTGGAAGAGGAGACCATGCAATTCCCTCAGTTCATGATTGCCACTCGGTGGCGCCATGACTATTTACTCGCCAGGCTGTACAGTGTAGTCCTGTGGTGTTGAGAAAAGAAATTTTTACTGCGACTCTTGCAGTCACTGCTGATGGCACAAAATTACCATCTGCAGTCAGTCACTATGAGATCTCACTGTTCCAGATTCTGTTTGAGTGTCATTCCACAAGAAGGATTGGATGGACAAAAAAGGTGTAAAAGGAATGGATACGTAACAATTTTCTGAAGAACCCTGACAATGAACCCCTGCTGCTAGTATAGGATTCTTATCCAGTGCATCTGACAGAGTCCATGAAAGCAGACCTGCAGCAGCAAAAGGTTGACATGGCAGTTATCCCAGGTGGCCTTAATCCACTCCTGCAGCTTTTGGATAAGTGTCTCAACAAACTGTTCAAGGACACCATCCAGAGACAGTATCTTTCCTGGATGATGACAGGTCCCTGTAAGTTTACCCCAGCAAAAAAAAGGAAGGCCCCATCATGAAACCTGGTCCTTTGTTGGGTGAAGCAGGCTTGGGTAGAAATTCCAGGAAGATGGTAAAACATACAGGATTTCAAACACACTTGATGGCACAGAACGTGATGACATCAACACCAATGAAATGCCTGAACTAGCCGATGATGAGATGGCCTTAGACAATAAGTTTGGGACCAACAGCAAAGAAGAAGATAAATGAATACTTCATAATTGAAGTTATCACTAAACTTAATGGCTCCTTAAGGAGCCACTAGTTAAATAAAAGTCAATGATTCTGCATAAGACTAGTAGTTGGTGCTTATGTTTGTTGATGATTGTGTAGCTAATAGCTAAATACATGTAAACATTAGATTCACATTATACTCTCATAAAATTTTTTTTTTCGGCAGAAATACATTACTCAGCCATAGGCTGCACCCCCCTGTCTTGTTTAAGTTTGACTATTTCTCAGTTTTTTTTTTGTTTAAAAAAACACCTGGCTTATTGGCAAATAAATATGGCAGCCTACAGGGTATGTTAAGTAAAGAGTACAAAATACAATTATGATAACATCTCATTACACAATGACATATGGCATGGCTACTTTGTATAGTTTCCAAGACAGAACCAACAACTGAACAAGTGATTAAAGTGATTGCTCCTTCAAGGAAATCTGATAATACAGTTTAGATTTACAGTATTTCCAGAAGAGTTGCTGTATTACACTGTAAAAGATTTCCCATCATTCTAATAAAGCTGGAGTTGAAAGTGAAGGGGGCAAGGCTCGACACTAACGGTAGCCCACTAGCCGCAGTCCAGTAGAAAGTCAGTTTTGGCTAGTGGTTTTCGCTTTTCACTAGCCAGTTTGACTACTAAACGAACTGACATGGTCGTAGCATCTAAGATGTCACCAGCCACTAGGCTAGTGAGTTGAAAAGTTAGTGTTGAGCCCTGGGGGGGAAGCTAAAGAAAAATTAAAGACCAAATTGCATTAAATTTATTAAGCATTATTTCTGCATCAACTGCATTAAATGAAAATGGAAAAGTGCTCCTTACACTTTCAGCAGTTTTATCCTGAGTTGACTATGAAGTCTTTAGCCCTGAAAGTGTAGCTTACAATTTAAAGTTAACTACACAATCACCATGCAGTGAAATTAAATGAAAATTCTACAATACCTGAGGAGGCTGAGCCATTGGATTTGGTATCATCTGAGGTGCACCAACAAAGCTTGACAACATAGGCACTTGTGGAATGTGTGGAGATAGTGATGTGAGCACACTTGGCCGTCTTGGTTCAGGACCACGGAAATTGAAGGTAAGGTCTGACAGAGCATGGTAAGCATGACTGAGGTTGTGGAATGCTTCCGCCACTCTATCAGGTAAGGTGTCTTCAGAAGCATCTAAGTTCTTTAAAAGCAAAATGAATTCTCATTTAGAAACATTTAACTGGATTTTTATTTCAAGTCCTACAGCTTTACATAAAGTACTATGCCATGATACATGCAAGATAATTTCGTTTTACCAACTGAGTTAATAATGTAAATCAGCCACTATAAAGAGTTTCTAAAGTTGACATTTCAAGCATTAGGTAGCATGGAAAGCCATAAAACTTGAACAAAAGCTCATCTTTAAAACCGGCTGTCTAAATCCCACAGGTATCAACAAACGCTTTTCATTCCACTAATTTATTCGTGTTTTTCTCGTTGCCATGTTCCCACCAATCACATAGCTCCATTTTCTGCCTTTAAAAGCACACACAACCCACAATTCCTCTATTCGCTCCGACGAAGGGCTAACGCTCGAAACGTCAGCTTTTATAATCGTAACAGTGGCTAATTTGCCATTTCAACTTTGTTGATATATTGAAATTATTTCAAGCATTAGCCCTTTGTCTTTTGCTCTGACAAGGGGTTAACCTTTTCAACATCAGCTTGATAAAGTCTTTACAAAGGGCAATTTTGTAATCGTTACGGTGGCCAATTTACCATTTCAACTTAGTTGATATATCCAAAAAAGGGCAATTTACATGATCAATTCAGTTGATAATATCAAATTATCTTGTAATACCCCTACCAACATAGCACTACAGTTTCCTGAGAAACTAACCCCCTTTATTCATGATACATACTGTTTTCCAAGGTCAAAGTTTAAATTCATGACTGCCTAACCCCCAGAAGCAATAACATTTTCAGACTTGCTTATTTTAAGCTTTCACTCAAGGGCTGTGCTCTAACGAAAACTGAATGGAGCCCAGTGCTCTTAAACTGTGAAATCCAGGGTGCCCAGCAGATGCTTTTTATGAAAAAACTAAAATGCCTGAGTCATGTGAGAGCAAAGTAAGGTACCAGGGGCCACTGGGCACCACTAGACCACAGCCTTGTTTCACTGGCAGAAATTCACTGTTTATCAGCGAGTAATAGACACAATTAACTTGCAAAGAGCTTTTAACATAGGTATGGAACTTAAAAATTGTTAGTAATAACTGTACCTCTGGAGAGTTAGAGTCAAGAAGAGAAGCATATCTGTCCAATACTGTTTGCATTGTAGTCATGGAGTCCCTTGCATCCCTCAATACTTCTGCCAAGGCTGCTGGACTGTTGAAAAAAATAAATAGTTAGACAGTCATTCAAAGCAAATTATTGAATTCAACATTCACCAAATACACTGTAGATGTTGATTGTGAAGCTATGGACAATTAAGTAGTGTGCTGAAATTCAAAAATGGCTCTTTTGGAATTTAAAGAGGGAGAAATGTTGTCACAAAATTATCTCCAGCAAGGAAATCAACTACAGGTACCTGTAAATTGTGAGAAAAATCATGCTCTTGATAACAAAAGAGGTCTTTGTCAGGCCCCGGGTTCAGGGGATGTACAGTGTAATTAACAAGGAATCCCAATGACTAATCAAAACTTTGGAGTGTAACAAATGCTGCCCATACCTGGAAAGGTTTGAAGTTTGGCTGCCAGTTTCTGTTGAGGATCCCTCAGCTTGATTGGCATTTGCAGTACTTGGTGTTTCTGATGTATCCATAGGAAGAACTCCATCACCCTAAAATAATTCATGACACATTTCAATCCACTAATCATTTCTCTAGATTGGAGAATCCCAGTCTACAGTATAATCAAAGGTGTAAACATGATGAGTACTACTGCACCTCAGATCTGTTAAGAGAATTAGATGCAGCTCTCATGAAATGTCTTGCCCTATTAATCCTCTGTGATACATCATTTCCAGGCTGAAAGTAAAATATATTCATGCATGTTATGACCTTGAAGATACTTTTTCTACATAACTGCACTTTAATTACACAGTAATACACCTGTATAGTTCATTCATAATGTTCAACACCATATTACAGGGACCATACAGACTTATGTATAACCAGAATCTTGGATAATAACACTGTTATATAATAGTGTTATTTATGAAGAGATGTAACACTAATACGCATACATGGCCATACACTGCATGTGTAAATGAAACTGATTCTACACACAGTTACTGTCAGTGGCTTTTCAAATTTGTTCTTGAAAACAACATTCTCTTTTTGTCTTTTTATCTGTATGCTGTAAAACATAACAATCAGTTTGAAAAAAAGGGCACAGGAAAAGCAGAGTTTTAAAACTTGATCACCATGTTAAATAAAAAGAGCCTAAACTGTATGTGCGTGCATGAACTAGTGCTTGTATCTCTTCCCATCTAACAGTTATTGTAAGAAATATCTAATATATTTTGCTCTTTGAAACATAAAAATTTAAAGCACATGACTTGTACAGGTATGTGAATATTGCAGCCAGATGGGATAACTTTAGACTAAAGGGTATCACAATCATGGCCACTTACATTCATGCTACACATGTTCATGAATGTCTGATGCAGTCTCTAAGGGCTGTGGGCAGTTCCTGAACAAAGGCTCCAACTGAAGTGATTTTTATGTGGAAGTACAATGTACAGTGTCCATGTATATTTTCCAAAAGGAGTTTGGCATGAAATGAATTGATTGCATGTTGCACTGTGTACTTGTATTAATTTTTACCTGAGTTGTGGCCTGAAGGTTGATGTGAACATTCACTGAAGATCCATCATCCTGCAAGGAAAAGTCAAATACTCACACATTCAATAGTAATGATTCAATAGTAATTAATTCAATAGTAATGATTATTAATGACTAACCCTCCCAAGATCTATTTGTTAATTCTCCCCATTTAGCTTCTACACATTTCCTTGTAAATTAGCAGTGAGAATTTGGTGTTACATTAAGTTAACAACTTTTACCAGGATAAGTTTGAGGCAATCTCATTACCTGTGTACTGGATAATGTACAGGGTTTTTTCCCTTTTTCAGAAGCAGATTTCAAGGAATTTCTCAAGACTCGGATGGACTCTAAATTTCACCTTAAACCCTTTCATTCCTCAGATTTCAAAAACAATTCTCCTTACTGTCTATACACTAGTCTTCTTACTGTATAACGATATAAATTCTGAAAACTCTACTGCTCGAGTTAAGCAAATTTCCAGGACTTTCTAGTCTAGTACCTGCAATCTTTTTCCAGGACTTTCCAGTCCTGGAAATCGTTGAAATAAAATTCCAAGACTTTCCAGATTTTCTGAGACATCTACAAACCCCGAATGTATGGATAGCATGGGAAGAAGTTACATCTTAATCCCCGCTAGGAGTTCAAGAGTTAAGGAATGCATTTCTTATCTCAAATAGAGCCACAGCTGACTAACAACAGTAGCTTTAGTTGTAATCAAGCATTCTCACAACTACTGCCCCGTAGTTCAGAGACACTTACAGATGATGTGGTGCTGATATTTGCTTGCGCAGAATCCACTCCGAGCTGATTGACAAGGCTCTGAACAATTTGCTGAATAAACAAACAACAAACTTCTGTTTCTAGTCTAGTTAAAGTTGACCCCTTGGATAATAAACAATTGCTTAATATTTGTCTTGGCAAACTGTCTACAGCAGTCACACAGCAAACTGTAACATTCTTAATTCCTTCCTGTTCAAGGTCTGGAGTTTAAGGTTACTTC